AAAAACGCTAAGTGAAAAATAATCCTACCTTGTGTTAATACAGCTAATTGACACTGACCACTTCACAATCACATCAATGTACAGTTCAAATCACAAATCGCGATATAATTAAAAGTGAACCGCCATGAGCTCGTGAAACAACGCGCCGCGCCGACTTCAGCAGCGAGAACTGAACGAGGAACTGCAACGACGATTGAAATCCGAGGCGCAGTAATCACATAGTGAAGGTGAGTGAGTTTGATAAGTCAAAGAGATTGAAACGAATTGTACTAACATAAATTATTTCTCAAGTGTCTATATCAGCTATAAACATTGTTGTATTACAAAATAATACCTAATTTTGGCATAATAGGTAAATAAATCATTCAAAAATAATTCTCTACTCTCCGCAGAATGATTTATCATTTTTGTTAAGCACTATTACATGTATTGCGACCAAGATAACACAGAATTTAAATATTTTTGATGTACGATGACCACTAATGTTTCGTAGGTCAGAGTTTACACGTTTATGTGCATAACATTTTGTTTGCATCGTTGTTATATCGTCATGTCTGCGACGCGTTTCTGCTAAAATGGTTACTGCATCGCGAAAGCCGAACAAACCAGCGCGAGCGCGCAGTCGGCAGATGGAGAATATAAAAATGCGAGCGCACCGTCGACCATAAATTCCCCGACATATTTTTCCCCCCAAAGAGAAGCCAAAACTTTTACATATGTATCGCCCGCGTGCGAGGGCGCCGCGCACAGGGTTCCGTTCGACGCCCAAAAGTCAGAAAACAAAATCGGAAACGCTGCAAGAGAATAGTTTATGTCGGCCGGCGCAAAAACGCCGCGCCGGCGACAAAAAGAACAGCATAAAATCTAAAAAATATATTACATGTCGGCCCAAATAAAATACAATACCCAGCGACGAAAAAAGTAAATCAATTTTGGTTGTAAAAGTAGGTATATAAAACGTTTATCCGCCAGAAACAAAACGACTCGTTTTGCGCATTTCATGTCGTGATGAAAAATCATAATGCAACAACGTATAAAACTATAAAACTATAAGTGCATTAAAAGTCGCGAGCGTGGGAGGAAGTGTGTGCCGAGTTTTGCACAGAGCGATATGAATCTAAAGAGTCGAACGCAGCGTCCGAAGAGTCGAACAAAACTTGTCCATTCGGCGAGAATAAGGCGAAAGGACGACTGACTTGTGGGATGAGATGGAAGCGGCTTTCCGGGGCCGAGTATTCCAAACGTGCTCTTGTTTGGAAAATATAGTTAGCGAAGATATACTCGTAGAGTTCGAAAGAGCTCTGAAGCGGTGCCAGCGAACGCGCCGAGATTTTCGGGCAAGCAATGTTTTATCTTAATTGTTTAATCTCGGAATGCTTTTAAATACTTTTTGGTTCGTTCTTGTATCATCTGTTTGTTTTCTCAGCGCGGGCGGGCGCGCGGGGCACATAACTAACTATAAGTACAACAGCAACGATGGAAGAAAAACGAGGCAACAAAAGCGAAGAAAAAACCAAGGCGAGCGCCGAGTTGCCGAATAAATACGAACAGCAAAAGCCGGGGAGATACTTCCGGGCAGTGTGGGTTGATTCATCGTGCTGGGGTTAATATAAAATTACTATGAGCACTAAAATTATTGCATGCAATATTGACGATTTCATTGCAAAATGGTATAAAACACATAATCTAATTTGTGACTGTAGGCAACCAAGTTTTCACACTGCGGGAGGAATAGCGTAACTAGTTTTGTAAGTTTTCGTTTGTTTGCGTTCCATTGCGTTTTAGTTGCTAATGTGTTTGCTCTTGTTTCGTGAGAATCCGCTGGTCTACTTTGCTATTTTCCCCCATTTATGTATTTTATTTTTATTTAGCAACTTTTTCTGACCTCTCCGCCTTTGTAGTTCCAGAAACTGGAACTCGACAAGTGTGAGTGTCGTTGAAAAGTTTTGTTGTGCTTTTATGTGCGAGGGGGGTACAGAAATAATTTTTCCAAGATTTTATTGAAGCTATTTTTGCGGTGGCGTAACTAAAAGACCATGGGAGAAATGAACTTGCTGATGGTTTGATCGGAGAAAGGACGTCTCGCGCGCTTCCGGTTACTTTGTACAGCATGTAGACCAAAGGCCATCCCATTTCCGCCTTATTCATTTTTGCTTTGGTGAGTCGTCCAAGCATCTTTCAAGAATCTCAAACTATTATTTTTTATTTATACAGTACTTGGTCTGAATATCTGCAAAAACGGTGTTTTATACACTTTTATATTTTTGGCTACTGCTCTATAGATGGCGATACTTGTAATGGCAAGAGTTGAAAGCTTCAGGGAATGCCTTTATGGCAATTTACGCGAAAGTTGATTTTGGCGAATTTGTTTAAGATACAATGCAGAGTTAAACGCCAACCGTTAGGGGCAAACAAGTTGAAATTACAAAACGCAAATGAGCAAATTAGATTAGCACTTAGCGCCCCTTTGCTGTACGCTCCACATTCCAAATTTGTGTCAGTGAGCGTGTGTACAGCGCGCAATAACTTTGGGGTTAATTAAGTTACCAACTTTTGACTTGTACTACCTTACGAACGATTTAATTAATACGCTGACAAAGAAAATGCTACACATATAATACCCTCAATGTTTTTCGCTAATTTTCAACACCAAAAGTAGTATTTTGAAAAAGCGAGTGACTCAAATCGTCAAATACCAAAATGGCAGTGTAATAAAACTATAATGTCAATAAAGAGAGGGATGATAATCGAAGGCGATGATGAAAGTTCGTTGGCGCGTTGGATCGCAAAGATGTAAAGCAGGCGACGATGATCGACACTTTGCAACTAACCGAAGTTCGCTGCGAAGGCGTCGCAGAGCGATTACGCCAAATTCCGACGAGATGAGGAGATGGGCGTCAATTTTCAAGCGCACTATGCGGGGGCTGCCCCCAAGAGGGAAGTCAACGCGCGAGTTGCGCAACCTGCGAAAGATCTCGCGGGCGAAAAACTTATCCGGGTCCCATCTCAGAAATCGGGGATAATCGTTAGTCCATTAGTGGAAGCACCGCTTCGAGAATACGCCGCCCGCAGTCGCGCAATTCCGAATAATACGCACTGTCATTTAACGAGTCTTATATAGTATGTGTATATTGGGTTAGAAGTTTTATTTGCTTGAATCGGTTAAAAAAAATCATACGGTTGATAAAAATCATCAATGTGGCCGGTTTTGGGTTGTTAGTGACACCGATTTTACTGCACACAATATTTATTTGTTTTTTTAACTTTTAATGATAATAAATCGACAACAAAACAAACTGTCAACAAAAAGTGACTGTTATTGTGAATTTTGGTTTTAAATAAACAAATATCAAGCGCTTTTGTGTTTGGATCAGTAACTTTAGAATAAAAACATATTTTTAAATATTTCATTAAGTTTAAATAATAAATGTCTACGTATTTATATTAGACTAGCTTTAACCCGCGGCTTCGCTCGCGAATATCTAAAATAATGAAGTTGCTTCCGTACGCGTCTGTAGTCACAGAAGAAGTAACAATGAAGTAGAATGGCTGGAAGTTTAAAATGGCTGAAAGTATAATCTATGGAAGTATAGTGTACAGTCTCCATAGTGTAGTCAATTGGATTTGATGTTGACGTAGCTGTCGGTAATACAGTGTGATAATACAGTGTGATGGTACTATAGTACTTAGGTTTGAGCTTCATTGCTGGAATGCTAGATGGCGTTAAAGTAGTCAAATAGTCAGATGCAGAGATATTATTGGCTAAACAATTTCTTTATTTTATTTAAAAAATATTTTTTTTATTAAATAAAAAGTAGCCTCTAACCATTCGGGGACCACTAAGAATATGTGTACAAATTTTCATGATGATCGGTTAAGTAGTTTTTGCGTGAAAGTGTAACAAACATCAGGACTTTCGCATTTATAATATTAGTAGGGATTTGGTGAAAATGTTGTTTGGAAAAATATTATCCGCAAATAAATATCGAATAATTAGATTCCATTTAGTTGGTTGATTATCCATTCGAGTGGTATATCCGCTTATGTTAATTGCTGTTTATATTTAGGGTTTACACCGGAATGACCTTTTATGTTTATGATATTCGCGTTAAGGCTCGGCCGGCGTGTTTATTTACGTCATTTGCATATTATATGCCGGATTGCCATTTGGGACACATAACAATTGAGTTTTTGTGTGTTTTCGAGGGTGTGCGTTTGCGACACTCTTTAAATCAACATATTTATTGTTTAAAACCCCTAACCCGTGATTAGCATTTTGCAATTTGCATATTTTTCACCGCGACGTGTGCATGAATATAATAAAACCGCGCAAAAAGCATCTAGTTATTGTTCTCAAAAAGAACATAAATTTTGGTAGAATTAACTAAGTCATGTTATTAAGTTTTGGCAACTTCAAAAGGAGAAAAAACTGTCGCCTGCTGTCACTTATTGGGCGCACCCTGGGTTACATGCAGCACGCGTTTTAATATTAATTAAAGGCGCGATAATGTATCTTTAACGAGTCTCATTATCCAGGGGAAGCATAATTAATCAATGTCTTGCAGATGACGACGACACTGGTGTCGCCCTAACGTTTTCTTAGAAGATATTCTCCACCGAAAATCAAAAAATCAAAAATTTATATTAAATTCCGTTTGCGTTTATGGAAATCCTCAGTAATTTGCAATTTAACGTTGCATATCAAATAAAATCGTCATTCGAATTAGGTTTATTTGTGCACGGCTCTGACGCTGATTAAACCTATAGTCACACTAATTAATCAGCAATAAACAGGTTGCATGGTGGACGGCGTGCGCATACGAGCGTGGGTTTGATTAATTCCGCAAATTCTGTACATCTAATGTTTGTTTGGGCGAGTGCGGCGCGTGAATTAGCCCCCCGGAGGGTGGCATGGTCTGCTTATGCGAGCCCACAATTACGCGCTAGCATTCGGTCAAATCGTCCTTGCACAAATAGTAATTATTAACTATTACCATGAATATTTAGTTAATGCATGTGCAGGCAAATCCTAATCAGATTAGATTAGAAGCACACACACACAATTTAGCTATTTATTATTACTTGGATTTTAAACACATTTACTTATATATAAGTATAATTCACTAACAAGTAAAGTAACGTTTGAATTATTCACTCGCCGTGGCTGTGTGTGTGGTCGTGCGTTGCTTGCTTGGAAATCTACGCTGAATTGAACTCTATTTATTTATTACTTATTCATAGGCAAATGTGCACTTAGCCGGAAGGAGAAAAGCACTCTACTGACTTGTACTCAATAAAACGAATTCTTTTGATGACATGTCTATGTTTTCACATGCGAAAGACAGCATAGAGCATTTATACTCTAATAAAATCATTCGGTATCTCTGATTCGCTTAAGTTTGCTAGTTGTTTTTCTAATTTGTGTTGGAGCTCCATCTGGCGGTAGTTATTCATCAACAACCATGTTGTGAAAAAATTCCAAACTAAAATTAAGTTATCAAAGCGGCTTTTAAGATAATATTATTTAAAGGTACTTACATATCATTGCAAATCCAACCAATAACTCCAAAAACATTTTGTATGTTGAGCTGTGCAGCAAAAAAACTAAATCAAAGATGAGTGCGATTGATGTTATTGGTATTTCGATGATAATTACGGCGAGATAAGGAATTACAAAATAATGATTCCTCTAAAAAAATACAGTTTTAGATAATTAAATAATAATAATATTAATAATAAATATTACTTACTCTATAAATACCAATCAATAAAACAAATATAGCACATATTGTTATGCCACCATAAACATTAAAGATGTCTGCATATGTATGAAGATTAACATCTTTTTTTCTGTGATAATTTAATACAACTAACAAAAATATTCGCAAAATCTAAAAATAAATTTTTAAAAATTATTTTAAATTTATATTAACATACTTACAAGACCTGAATATGCAGCTATTTGAATATTACGTGAAGAATCAAGAAATCGTCTAGTTGAATCCGACATATTAACAATTAAATATGATGCTTGTAAAATGAATCGAAACGCACATCTGTCACATTTTGTGTTTTAGTATCTCCTCAATGTTATCTTATCAAAAATTCAACTTACTTGATTTAATCTAATTCCGAATACTTGAGTTTTATCAAAATGCGACAATGCGCAAAGTTGCGTCTAGTTGACTCCTGGTGACTTGAAGCATCTCGGAATCATAATTCTTAGTTATACCAACGCGGATCGCTTTCGGCGCAGTGGGCGCAAAGGTGTCGGACGAAGTGGCGCGTGTAAATTCCTCAAGATAAATGATCCGCACTCCCTACATAATGCATACACACGTGAGCAAGCCGGCGTACACACCTTACGAGATTGTGAGGATGCAATGCAATATTTATAAGGACGAGTTTCGCTCCTCGTATCATTTTTCATGTCGTTGAATATTTTTTGAGATTTGATTTGTCTGGAATTGTTTTCTTAAATTAAAAAAAAAACAAGCAAAATTAAGTTTTTTTGTGCCAAATCATGAAAAAGGGAGATTTCTCTTCCTCTTGCGTTGGTATGGTCTGAATTAAATGTCAATTCCAATGCAGGCACTGTAGTAGTGGTTATGTATGAGTGTCGACGCATTCCTGAAAGTTTCTTCGTTCTCCCGCGCCGAACATTAACATCCCAGCACAATCAAAGTTGTAATGTTATTGTAATTTACATCGTCGACAACATCTGTATTAAGTCTCGCTGGAATCCGGGCAAATTTCTCACACTTTACGCGCGTTTTGTCTCTATTCAGCTTCTTCGCAGTGGTTCATTCGTCGTGGTTTTCTCTTTCGGTAGGCAAGAGAAGCTGAAACAATTTTGCGGCGTGTGCAGACAAAGTTACCTCACTCCCTGACGCCTTTCGCGCGAAATGGGAAAAGCTGAGGAACCATCGAAAGAAACATCAGAGTATATAGGCAGTTTCTTCGCTGCTAAAACTCAAAAAGCTTCTAAAGGTGCAGAAAGTCTTTAATCAAGTTTTAATTCCGCTTTTAATTTACCAAAAACTGTGTGGATGGGCATCATTTATGTATATTATAACAGCAACCGCCCTAATGTTGGTCTCATGTTAGACTACTCACTTCACACGCGCGCGAAATGAGGTTATGTGCGGCGTGTCACACGACGACGCATTACCGACTCGATTAACGCTGAATTTTCTACGCAAACCTGCTTGATTGCGTCTCGCGGTCGCCCCTGCTGCTGGTGATGGCTGGAAGCACGGAAGGAAGAATTGCTGGGTGATGATGATGAGATGGCGTACGCACATGCGGTGCCGTCAAGGAGTTATAACTAGATGGCCGGCAGTTAAATGAATGCCTGCAACACATCGTACGCTCCAAACTCATACATCAAACTAATGGTATAGTAATGTACTGAGTGCGTTAACACACAAATAAAGCTTTTAATTTCGCAGCGCGGTTTTTTGTTTACAAACGCAGCGGAAATGTTTGCAAATATTTTGTAGACGCGTAACGAATGCATTCAGGAAATAGAAATATATAGTTGACGTTTGTGTATGACGGGTACAAATTCAAAAACTTTAAATTGATGTTCTAGTTCCGAAGTGAATGCGCGCGCATGTTTTGAGAAATAACATGATTTACCTCTGAAAATATCAGAGCTGGACTTGTTCCAATTTTTAATAAATATTTTGTTATTTGTTCAAATAAGCAAATTGAGTTCGAATCTGATTTTAATACAAATTGACGTCACTATTTCACTGGCCATAAGTTTTCCAGCGTGGCAAAAGCATAGCTTTCAACGAAAACTTATTTAATATATCAATATTATTTGTAGCAGCTGTCGATGTCTCCCAATAGTTATACTACCACCATCTATAAGAATTCTGCCAAATTTATCTTTACTCCATCTTTCAGCTGATGTTTTCAATTCTATCCAAGTTCTTCTATAACAAACCGTTACACATGCGTAAATATTGCAGTTTTAATAATAAAATATTGAACGGGTCATTCTCGTACAGGTGCTGGAGGTCAAAGTTTCCAACTTGAGGTGAAGATGAAAAGCGATAAAAACGTGCGGCAAAAACTTCGTCAATATTGTACGTGTCGACGCAGCACTTTTATATTAAAACTCAATTTCATTGCCACGACGTCTACGGATGGGGAAAAAGTCAGTTTTCTGTCTGGGTCTAAGCTTTATCTGAATGGAATCAACGAACTTGCCAGACTTGCATGCTTTGCTAGTCACAAGTCATTTATTATCACTCGTATGACAACATTATTAACGTGATATTTAATTGTGAGCTAACAAAGGATTTTTGTTGTTGTGGAGGCGCGCTGAGTTTGAAAAATTACCTTCTGAAGTAGTCACGTTTTTGGCAGGCAAAACGTGGCGCTTGTTACAACTATCAGGCGGATGGCCTACACCGGAGGCGGCGTTGAAGTGCAGCCGCACGCCGCGCCACTCGAGGGACGCGTGTGCTCGTCGCCTTCCTCTGATATTGGATAACTTCCGAGAGAGCACCGGAAAACTTAAGGAGCAATCCATAACTATAAAAGTGGGCTTTCGCTCATGCACAACGTCATCTTTGCACAAGCAATAGGCTCACAATCATCAAAAAATATACAGGCAGTTAAAAAAATGATTTTTTTGTCCGCAGCATAATTCAATTTTATCCTTCACTAAACGGTAACAATTTTACGTGTAGGTGGTAATCTCAGCTGTTAAACTTTTTTGTCGGGTATACCAAAACTGTTGGAGAAATTATTAATAAATGTGAAGTTATACCTTAACTTAACAGTTGTTTACGACCATCTGTGCGTTACGTGTAGAAAAACTTGCCGCCAAGACTTATTCTATTTATCCGCCGCCTCCGGGCCGTATCCTTGCCGAAACTGTCACGGAATTAAGTGAAAAATGACATAAAAAATCCATTTTATGTGAAATAGTTATTTTTTGTGTATTTCTTGGGGTTAAAGTGGCCCATTTGGCAATATTTATTGGAATGGCGTTTTCTCTGTCGGCCGTCCGCGTCTTTTGCCTTCCAGGCCCCGCGTCCTGGGGGCATATATGGAGCGTATATATTTTCGCTACCGGAATGTAGTGCTGTATGTATTTTTTCCTGTCGTCGATGCACAACTTCCCATTTTTACAAATATACAGTATGTCAAAAACTTTTTTCCCCTCACATTCATGCAACTAGTTAGAAGTCAAATAAAAATATACATCATGTATATTATATCAATGTACCGCGTTATGAGAGGGAGATGTTTACGGTGGCCACGGCAATAATTCACTGATTATCGTGTGCGGGTGAAATGTAAGTGAGTGGTAAAAAGTTTGCCATTCGTTATGTACTAACAAACACATTCGGAGCGATTTTGTTTACTCTCGACGCATATAAGTAATAAGTTATTAGTTGAGAGGTGGGCGTGCCACGGTAACAAATTTCCACTTCCCACTCCACAAACACGACGTATGTACACGATTCGGACAACAAAAGAAGTGATTCATTCGCTCTCTAACCCTTGACATGTCCGGGAGGCTAATGAAAAAAACACCAAGCGAATTATTAAGTTACTAAAAGCGTTCGATAAATTACAGCCCAATAACAAGACTGGTGCTGGTGACTACTATTCGATGAAATCTTTCATTTCGAAATGGTCGTGTTGTTGCCGTTTGCAACTATCTGATGTCGTCCGGCGGCGGTGGCGAAAATTAAGTGTATTCGAGGCACACCCCTTTTGCCAATGAAGCGAAGCGCGAGTGGACTGCGGGCGCAATGTGCGGTATGTGCTGGGTACGAGTCGAGATGTGTATGTTGGCTGTTTGTGGGTTGCGATAACGACGAAATAAAGCAAAACGTGCACACTGTGCGGCTCTGGCGTGGAAGAAGAATAATGAACGAACGTCTGCTGCATGTTGGATGTTTTTTTTGTTTTGATACTCAGATGTAGTATTGATGCTTGCTACAGTTTCTTGTTCTTCCAGTTCGTTATATCATGATCATGTTTGTTTCTATGTAATTTGTTTCAAAACTTTTTAACAAAAAACAATCATATGTTTAACTTGCTTATTTAATAGAGAATTTTCCGTAGATTAAGACTCTACGATTCGTTCTTTTCTATCTCTTTTAGTAGGCGAGATATTCACAATTGTAAAAATCAAAATTTAAAAAAATTCAATTTTTGGTGTTTTTAAACACATTTTCACTCTTTTACGCTATGATATTAAATTATTTTATAGAGAATTTTCCAATCTTTACTAATCTGCAATTTGTAGGATTCTAGCGCTTTTAATTTAGAAGATATTCACTATCAAAAAAAGTCGAAACAAATTATCAAGCATTCCCCTTGCCCATTTTTTCTTATGAATTAAAATTTCATCTTTTAGATTTCCAATTTAACTGGCTTATTTGATAGAGCATTGTCCGTAGATTATGATTCTGCGATTCGTTCCTTTCTATCTCTTTGAGTTTACGAGATATTCGCAATTGTAAAAATTCAAAATTTAAAAAATTTAAATTTTTGGCACTTTTAATCACATTTTTTGCCCTTTTACCCTATGATATTTAATTATTTTATATTCCAATCTTATATATTTTCCAATCTTTCATAATCTGCAATTTGTTGGATTCTAGCGCTTTTAGTTTAGAAGATATTCACTATCAAAAAACGTCAAAAAAAAATTGCCAAAAAATTATTTCTTAGATTTTCAATTTATCTAGCTTATTTGGCATACCTACTTGAAGATCGTTATTATGGTATATTCAGAAAATACATTTGTCTCTTTTTTTCGAATTCACATCAATTCTTAAAAAGTTTTCACTTCAAAAAAATAAAAATTTGAGGAAAAAAAAAAGTTAAATATTCAGTTTTTGATTAATTTTCTATTTGTCTTTTGATATAGAAACCAATATTCGATTGCAGTAGTTGAGCTTTTCGTGCTTTTTACCGTTATTAGTTTTCGCCATTTGGCAATTGTCGCCATCGGTAGTACGTGAGGACATTGTCAATTCGCCGACGCTGCAGATAGCCACTTGCTCAGATGCTCAGATACGGCGATACAAAGCTTTTAACA